TATAAAGAGAAGACAGAAAAATAAAAGACAAAAAGATTTAGGGCCGGCCAGATAGCTCAGTGGTCTAAAGCAGCGGACTTAGGCAGTGCAGGGACCAGGGTTTGATCCTGGTGCCATGCCAGCCCCACTCCCAGGGCAAGCTGAGACGAGGCGACTGAGACTGGGCGTGGTGGCACGCACCCATAATCCCAGCATTTGGGAGACTAAAAACAGGAGGATCACTATGAGTCTGGTCTGTGCTGTGACACCCTGTAGACCCTGTAATGAATATAAAAAAAGAACAGAAAGGTTTGGGAAAATAAGTTTCCTGCCCTGATAATGCCTCTTTGCTGGTATTTTGACTGGAGAAAGCAGGCTTTTTGTTGGGTGTTTGTGTTTCGTTGTCTGCACCTGCATTTCTAATTAGTTTGTTTTTTTTTTTTTGAACTGCTATGCAGTTCAGGCTGGCCTTGAGCTCACTTTGTAGCCCAGAGTGGTCTCAAATTTGCAACAGTCCTCCTGCCTCAGCCTGCCAAGTGCTGGGATTATAGCCATGCACCTGTATTCCTAGGCTTCTAGTTTCTTTAACCACTTCACCCCCTTAGTATTTCATGCTCAGCATTCTTTAGGACTGCTGAACCCCCTAGTCAACCTTTCAGACCATGTCTGGCTTCTTCAACCCATCCTCTATCCTTCTGCAAGTATTTCCTTCCTAGAAAGCAGAACTCCCCATGTCACTGTCCTGCTGGTATTATTACCCAGAAGTCCAAGCTCAGCCTTCACAGGTACTGTTCATCTTCCAAACCAGCTTTGCTTTTTCTGCAGCAGTTTGTTCTTTTTCTGTTCCTCTGCTTCAGACCCATCATGTACTTTACCTCATGTCCCTCTTTCTGCCTTTCTTTACTCTTGGAAAGAATAGTTTAGAAGTTAAGTCACTGGTGTTAGGGTGCCTACCGTGAAAGTCCAGCCTTAACTGGAATTATCTAGCTGGGTGATCCTGAGCAGCTGTACCTCCTCATACCTTGGCCTTTTCATCTGAAAACTGGAAATTATATCACCTGCATCACAGGATTGTCATGAGGCTTAGAGTAAATATTCTTCATAAATCTTCCAGCAAATTGCATGGTTGCAGAAGAAGCTCTCCATAAATGTGAGCTGTTGGTATAATTAGAAATTAAATTAACATTGTATAGTTCAGGATCCAATTTGAATGTTGACCTCTATGAAGTCTTTTTTTTTAATTTATTTTTTTATTGAGAAATAAATATAAATGAGACAGTTTCACAGCTTATTAATAGGACAGTTTTGATAATCAATACACTGTACATTGTTATCTTCTTAGTGGTTATCCATAGCACAATAAGCAGACAGGCTATTCTGTCCAAACACTGTTAGTACACCTCTTTCTTCTCATTGAGTTAAGCGAAAGTAGCTGTAAATTTATCCTAACTATTTTGTATATATAAATATAAAATGATCTTTCCTTTGTATCTTTTTTTTTTTTTTTTTGGGGTCCTGTCAGAGGTGAATATTCTATTGGCATCTAAATACTATAGGTGTTTGAATTCAACTAAGCAATCTAACACTGTCTAGCAGTCTATAATATTAGTGGGTTTTCCTCAGAAGTTATTGACTTGAGCCTTTTACAGCTCATCGTATTAATATGGATTTACTTTATATACCTCGTTTTTATACTTTTCTGCTGGATGGTTAAGACCAAGATATAACAAGACCTATATACCAAGAAGTGTAGCTTTCGTATCTGATAAGGTCAGCCAGGTACTCTCAGGATTTATCCTGTAGCCCTGTACCACCTTTTGTACATCCTTTTGTCAGTGTCTGACATGAGGATGAGTCATGGCCATTGCTTGACCAATTTGCTCTCTGTGAAAGCTTGAGAAAATGATTTTTCTCTCCATGTGACTCTCCCCAGGCTCATTTTACATCTATGAAGTCTTTATGGGTTCTCAGCACTGCTGCCCCATTGTTGGAATTAATTGTTCATTTCCAAATGCCCCTGCACCACTTAATTTACATTGTCTTTATTTAGTTTGTATATAACTAGGTTGCAATTCTGTCTCACTGTTCACATTGATTGTTCTGTATATTCATTCATGCAAAGGAAGCACTTACTGTGAGTCAAGCATTGGATCCAGAGGTGACTAAGTCATGGACGTTTTCTTTAGGGCATTCTCAGTTCCTTGTTAGCAGCAGAATGCTTTATGAAATAAGTGGATCTGGTAGGGTTTACTAAATATTTATTGCCCTAAGACAAGCAGAACTTGGGCTATGTGGCTCCAGGCTGGAAGATATCACAGCATATTACAGATTTAGAATCCTTCGGTAAGCCATTCCTCACACGGACCTCTGCCTAGTGCTATGTGAAGGGCCCAGCTTTGCGTTAGATCCTTACTTTGTGTTAGATCCCTACAGTAACAGTACTGGGATGCCCATGATCTGTGGTTTTGAAGTGCGTCTCATCTGGGGCTGGACCATGTGCAAACCCCCCAGCTCTGTGAATCAGCTTTTGTGTTCAAAATAAAACTCTTGTCAGTGTCTCTGGAGCCATATAAATACCACTGATGGTTCAGAAACTGTGATGCTCTCTTAAACCCTGTGCCTGGCAATCTTAGCCCCACAAGCAGTTGTGTGCCAGGTACCGTGCCGGGAGCGATGGGACACGAGCTCCTCAGCAGCCTGCTCAGGTCCCTGTCGTGGAGCAGTCGGTCACTGGGAGCACAGGTTGGTCATTTCTCCACAGCCAACTTGCCAGCAACAGAAGGCACTCACAGAAGAAGATTCTAGAGCTGCGTCAGAGAGTGGCAACGATGAATGTGTTTGAAGTGACAGGGAGTATCTTGGGGGAGATGAATGCAACAGGTTTTTTAATTACAATCCATTTTGAAAAGAAGTAAAACACTTCCTGTATTTTTCCGTCATACCTCCTATGGGAAGAAGGTCCTTGATCTTAGCCAAAACACCGAGAAATGATGCTTTGGGAAGAAGATGATGAGAAAGGCAGACACTGAAAGAAAGTTCATAGATACCTGTACATATGAAATTTCTACTTGTCCTTCCATCTGTTCATCTGTCTGTCCGTCTGTCTGTCATTCTGTCTATCTGTTGAGAGGTGAGAGAAGAATAAATCATGATAAACCACATCCTGCAGGAAGGAGAACATGATTTGCTCAAAAGTACAGGTAGTAATTCTTTAGAAGCAAGAGGCAGGAAGTTCAGGATGAGACAGGAAGGTAAGACTTTAGAACTCATGAAGATAACGTGTTTTCTCAGGGAAGTTTAGAGGATGGAGAGGTGTGGATAAAAGATCAGGCTTAAAAAAGGGCGAGGTTTGGTATGTTTTCTCTAGGGAATTATGAAATAAGGAATTAGGATGCCAGGGATACAAACAGGGACCCGTAGCAGCATTGAAGGTAATTGATTGAGTAAAGCAAATATTTGCAATTAAGTAAATAGAAGTGGTTCTTTTTTTTTTTTTTTTTTTTTTTTCATTGAAGCACTTAGCATAATATGGGCAGGAAAACAGGCAGATGAGAGTTGGTGGGGATTGGGGATTGGGGCTTAGGCCTAGGGCTGGCTGGGGCAGGCACCATTGGGGTGCCGGGGAAAGCACTATGTGTTGCAACTATGATAGGCGGGCTGCATGGAGATAGCAGAACTGGAGATGAGAGTGTTACACTAGACTGAAGGTGCAGAGGATGAGAAGTCTCGAGAGGCTGGGGAGCACCCTGACTTTGATTCCAGGCATGGGAGAATGGGACAGGAAGTTCTGGTTGAAGCGTGAGGCTTCGAGTGGGTCATTTCTCAGACACTGAGTACCAGCTCTTTGCATTTATTGTGGGAGGCTCTGGGAGCATGAAGTTATGGTGTCTCTCACAAAGGAGCTCACCTTAGGAGGCTCTGACCTCAGAGGTGAGCAGCCCACCTTCCCGGATCATGGTGAGGCTCCTGGATATGACTTGCTACACATTGCTGGAGCAAATAAAACCAAGTGGCTGACAGGCTGTCACACCAAGGTGCTATCCACAGGTACTTACCATCCTGTGAAGGGTTCCCTCTTCTCGGTCATTTCCCTGTGGCTCCACCTGTATGTGGGAGCTGCTTTTCTGCTGGCCCCTGTGCCTCTCGGGCTCCAAGTGCCTGCTCCTGTAGTGCAGAGGGCCAGCGAGCCACCACGCCTGCCTTTGCACGTAGGCACGCTTGTCTGTGACAAGCTGCCAATTTTACACTTCAGGTTTCCTTTTTCTTTTGTCCTTACGTTCCTGACTATTGAAAAAGGACTTAGAAAGGTGCTGCAAACCCTTTCCAGAGCAGAAGCAGCTGAGATGATTATCTAGAAAGCTGTAAACAGGCACAAGTCAGATGCTGCAGGCGCTGGCAGGATGCCACAGGGGCAGAGGAGGGAGTGCGTGTGGTGCAACTGCTCAGAGCTCCGGGAGCTCCCTGACTAATCGCATGCTTCCTCCACACTTAGAGTGAAGCTCTTGACAGAAAGGGGCCTCCTGGGCTGGGTGGGGCGGAAGCCGTCCATCTAGAAGAACAGGCAGGGGGCATCCACACATCAGCAGTCACAGGGTTTTGCTGCCTGCACACAGTTGCGTGAGACTTCATTTCATGGTCCATCGGGAGTGCTGCTGTCTCAGAACTGAATTCTCTCCCTTCCTGCGCCAGAGAGGTTGTGCTGCTGACTGCTCTGAGGGAGGGGCCAGACTACCATAGCTGGTTAGTGAGTTTTGGCTGAGGAGGGGGAAGAGGAAGCACGTGTCTTTGCTTTCCTCCCCTTGTTTCCTTCCTGCAGTGACCTGGAAGGCTGGGCTCTGTACCCCATGCTCCAGATTAAACTCTGGGAATAGGCTTTGTGCTCTGAGGGGAGGCTGCCCTTCCCTCCGCGCATCCACACACTCACTACCAAGGCTTTTCTATTGAGTCGTGACCATACCAGATCCAAGGCATGATGTGATCTCCTGGGCGTGTGATATTTATTGTGTTGTTTCATCTTTTAGAAGCCATCTGGAGCCAACCAACTTTAGAGTCCTTCACTGGCTGAAATCAACACCATCAGGGATGACCTGCTCTTACTGGCTAATTCTCTGCTCCTGACAGCACATCCGACTCCAGGTATCTACAACAATAAGATCATACTTCCTAAGCTCTATGTAATGAGACAGTCACCTGCACATGGACTTGGATGTCAGGGAACGCTCACTACTATTCCTGAAATATAAGATGAAATGTATTATTGTCAGATACATTTTGCTGTAGCCTTTGCCAGCCACTGCATACACACAGTGTAAATCAGTGGACTGTTGGCCTCAGAGAATATACATTTGCAGCAGTGGGAATGAGATTACCTCTAAAATAGAAGCCAGTCAGTTGCATCCAATTACCCATTCTGTCTAAGAGGGTTCACAAGACAGAGTTTATTGTCATTTTCATCAAGAGAACAGCATGGGGTCAAGAAGACACTATACTGGGGCAGAAGTGTTGGGAAGAAGCTGTTTCTTTTCACTGAACAGCAGCCTGTCCGTAATTAGATAAAGGAACTTTGAGCCACGGCTGAAAGGAAGCTGTTGTAGAGATAAGAATTGGGAGGTGCCGCGATGCTGGTCCACCAATTCTAGAATGTTCTTTAGAAATTATTTTTCCCTGGAGAGGTGTTGGATCAATCCAGTGCGTTCTCAGTGGCAGAAAGCCATGGCAACTCCTAGTCGTAATTCTATCCCAACCAGTGTTGGTTCACCGTGTATAATTTTGGAGATTTGGTTCACTGTGTATGCATTTGGGGACTGTGTTGCTGCGACTCATTCTCCCAGAGTCCAATCATTTTTGGTCACAAGGAACACTGAGTTGCTGGCCTAGGGTTGGCCTTGTGCTGCCCTCATCAAGGCCCTGGAGCTGCCAGGTGCCCCTTCTTTGAACATGTTTTTATCTTGGTGATGCTATGAGTGTCATAAATCCTGAGACTCATTGTGACTGGTCAACAACAAAGAAATATTTGTCCAGAATAGGTTTTTCATCTTGGCACGGTGGTCATTTTGGACCCATGTAGTTCTTTGTGGCCAGACTTTGCACTCTGTAATGTAGGATGCTCAACAGCATCCCAAGCCCCTCCTCTCTAGATAACAGTCTCACCACCCACAGTACACAGAGTAGCTGTAACAACCAAAGATGTCCTGAGACATTGTCAAATGTCCTCTGGAGGGAAACACTGCCCTGGGATTAAGAACTGCCACTATTCCAGTAGCTAACCAGTGGTGAGGGGCTTTCTGGAGGAGCAGGATAACACTACACTTGCAAGAGGAGCGTTTTCAATTCCAGGAGCAGATGCAGACATAGTTCTGTTGTAGGGCACACTGTCAATGAAAGTGCAGAGCCACCTGCAGCACGTCCAGCCCTGTTAAAGGACTGGTCAGGGGGAAGGATTTGAGTGTGGAGTTCAGCTCTGGGTTCATATTGTCTTGATTACTTTTCTCTCCTTTGTGAGACAAAATATACAACACTCAAAATTAAGGGAGGAAAGGTTTATTGAGCTCACAATTTGTGGTGGTTTTAGTCGTAATCAGCGGGCTCCAAGGCAGGGTGGTGTGGCCCAGGGGCAACAGTCCATGGTGGCTGAAGACAGCAAAAGCAGTAGGAGCCAAAAGGGGGAGCAATCATCTTTTTTTTTTTTTTTGATACTGTATATTGGCTATCCACCCATGCCCACACCATGTCCCTGCCCTTCTCTTCCACAAGCTGAGGATGTTTACAAAGTAAGGACCCTGGTTGCTGCTGAATCACTTAATTGAACTTTGAAACTTCTCAAGTTGACACAACGAACAACATCCTAGAGCAGTATGGACGGGTCCTTTTCACCCCAGGAGGTACAACTGCTCTGTTACTTAGTTAAGATTCTAGACTCAAGTTGATACTCTGTATCAACCATAACACTATCTAACTTCCCAAACCTGTCTCACTGGCAGCATTTCTGAATGAATTGTCTCTGCTGAGTCCTGTCTTCTAGCCAGGTGTCTTCACTCAGGTACTCTGTTATCCCTTAGAAACCTGAGCTACAGAGCAGAGGCAGTGAGGAAAAGCCCACCCAGCCCACTTCGGGATTAGGAGGAAGGCATTCAGTTGAAACTTGCCCAGTCTTCTGCTTCTGTAAAAGTACCTAAACTGAAAGGGAATCACAGAGGTCATGTAGAGCAGCACTTGTCGCAGTCAACCGGGTGTCCTGTGAAAAGAGATTCTGGTGGTGTGGAAACTTTTGCAGATCTACAAGCTACCACGTAATGTTATTGCAGCTGTCTTAGATCATAGCTTTAGATGTAAGGATGCAGACCAGCCCTCTGCAAACTGTGGTCTATGGACCAAATTGAGACCTCTGCCTGTTTTGTAAATAAAAAGTTCTGTTCTGTTTGTTTGTTTTCTAAATACATCCACAGTCATTCATTGATACATCTGTGGTTGCTTTTGTACTGCATCATAAGTTGAGTAACTGTGACAGAGACTGTGTGGCCCTCAAAGCCTAAAATATTTGCTCTCAGCCCTTTCTGCAAAAGGTGTGCTAACCTGTGTTCTCAGGTGACTTGTACCATGTGGACCAGGGAGGCTTTTCCGTGGAGGTCATCCTCTAGCCTGAGCCATTCCTAGGTTGTCTGTTTTCAGCCTTGGCTTGCCTTGGTTGTCCCCTGGCTCTTGTCTGGGGCACCTGCAATCCTCCCTGTAGGCACTGAAGGCGTGGAAGCCCAGCAGGAAAAGCCTGTGCCACTGTGAGCCTCGGGCCCGCGTGTGCTCCTTCCCCTCAGAGCCATCCTCAGCTGGCGCCCTTTTAAGCCTTGGGTGGCTCCACCTTAACGCTGTCAGAAATGCTCCCTGAGGCTTAGGAATATAAACCTCATGCTTGACTGCTCTGAGACCTTCCTTTTATGGCGCTTCATACCAGGTGCTCCAGCAGCTGAGAGTTGTAAGCTGCCTCTTCTGTTTAGGAGACAAATGTGTGAGCTGAGCATTGTAATTGCAATATTATGGGCATGATATTAGAAGACAGTTTGCATGCTTGTTAGCTGAAGCAAGGCATCTGCAGGGTTCATTTTGCACAAACAGATTTTCCATCTATTGATTTTTTTCTATTAGCATATAAATATATATTATACTTAGAGTCCAGATTTTCAATATAACATTTTATTTATTTATTAGTATTTTTCAGTAAGGGTCTACAGGGTCTCACTACGTAGATCATACTTGTAGTGATCCATCTGTGTGTAACCTCTCGAGCTGGGACTATAGGTGTGCACCACCATGGCCAGTCTCAATCCTTGTCTCAGCATGTCCTGGGGGTGGGGCCAGCACAGCATGCCAGGGATCGAATCCCGACCTCTGTGTCTGCCTAAGCAGGCGCTTTAATCCGCTGAGCTATTTGGCCTGCTCAGCTACTTGGCTGGCCCTCAATGTAACATTTTAAAATTAAATATGTGATGTAGATTAAAATTTTATTAATTTCAGTCAGTTAACGGGTTTTTTTTTTCCTTCTCCTTTTTTTGAGACAGTGTCTTGCTATGTGTTCCAGGCTGGCCTTGAACTCGGTGTGTTGCAACTTAGCCTCAGACTTTCTCCTGTAACCTCCCAAGTGCTGGAATTATAGGCATGCGTGGTCTGATTTTAATTTTAATGTGAGTAAAACATAGCTCTATTCCCATTACTATTAACTGAAAACTAAAATTTGATTGCAGAATTCTTTAAATGAAGTTACTTTCAAAACTTACTAGTGTACCTCACCAATAATTTATTATTAGTGGAAATAGTATGAAGTTTTAAAATGGTGAGATGATATATATGAGATTATTTGCCATCTTAGCTTATTTTTAAGTGTACAATTCAGGGCCGTTAAATACACTTACATTATTTTGCAACTCTCACCACTATTCATCTTGATTTTGCAAAACAGAAACTTTGGACCCTGTGCCTTTTAAACAGTAACTTTCTTTGCCCCACTTGCCCCAGCCCTTGACCACCACTGCTCTGCTTGCTGTCCATGTGGACTTGCCTGCTTATTTCACACCTGTGGTGTCATCCAGCCTTTGTCCTTTTGTGGATGGATCATTTCACATAGCATGTTTCCAGGCTCACCTATGCTGTAACTTTTATTTTTTAAATTTTAGGGAAGGGTCTACAGGGTGTTCAGGATCTCACTACTAGATCAGACTCATAGTGATCTGCCTGTTTACAGCCTCCCAAGAGCTGGGATTATAGGTGCGGGCCACCACACCCAGTCTCATTGCCATTTTAGCTTACCCCAGGGGCAGGGCCAGCACAGCAGGCCTGGTGATCAAACCCCTGGCCCTTGAGCCTGCTTGCAGGTGCTTTAATCCACTGAGCTATTTGGCCAGCCCATTTCCTTACCTTTTAGAGCTCTAATAACCCCTTAGATATGTACCACCTTCTGTCTGTCCACCTGAGGATGAACACTGAGACTGCTAATACCTTCAGCTAAATTATATGTTTATGAAGTCTGCAAAAAATATATACACACTTCAGGCAAAGAAAAACTTGTATAAGTTCTTTCTTTCTTTCTTTCTTTCTTTCTTTCTTTCTTTCTTTCTTTCTTTCATTTGCCTGCTCAGCCCATGGCAGGGCATGTGGTACTGGGGATTGAACTGCAGTCCCCCCCCCCACCCCCCTTGGCTGCCTGAGCTTGCCTAAGCAGGTGCTTTAGACTGCTGAGCTATCTGACCGGCCCTGTATAAATATTTTAACACTAAACTTATTGAGACATTAAGAGATTCATACAAGTTGCCTTCCTGACATGTACTAGTAGGGTGAACTCTGCTCGGTTATCCTCGGGCAACGAGATTGCCGCACATGCATTTTCAATTTCTGCTCTAAGGGCCGGCAGTGTGGTGGGTTCTGTATGATGTATAACATTCTCTTGGTGTTCCCCATGAGGGTAGCAGCATCTGTTGAGAAAACATCATGCGCCTTTTCCTGAAGTGCTTTTACGTTTTTATTCTTTTGCTGGACTCTTTTTTTTTTTTTCCATAATTTTATTGAGAAACAAATAGCAATGAGACAGTTTCAAACCAAATTGGTAGGACAGTTTCAATAATTAACACA